CAGGAATGGAATCTAGACATACATCTTGTTTGTTCTACTTTCAGTCCAAGCACTGGAATTACAGGCAAATCACTGTACCTTGCTTTGGTTTAGACAAGTCCTTCAAGGTCCTGAACTGGTTGGGGTTAAATCAAGTATGTGACACACTTAGAATGGTGGGCCCAGCAAGAAGGGAGTCTTTTCTCTTATCCTGGTATGAAAGCTGTTTGCCCTAATGTAGGACCTAGTTGTCTAGATAAGTTAGTTCACCAGAATTTCTGGAATCAGTGAGACTAATTAAGGGTTTAACACAGTGGTTCTCAACCTCCCTAATACTGTGACCCTTTAATATAGTTCTTTGTGTTGTAACAACCCCAACCTTAATGTTAATATCTGATATGCAAGATATCTGATATTTGATCCCCAAGGGGTCGTGACCCAAATTTTGAAAACCACTGTTTAACAGGTTTATTATCTTGCCCACCACCCCCATCCCCCACCCCTCAGTTTGTGTGGCCTTGACTCAGTTCTCACTGAGCTTTCCTGCACTTCTCCTCAGTTCCCTTGTCCCCACCAAGGCCACCTCCAGTCCCTAGTTTAGTTCTCTTCATAGCTTGTCTGTAAGTCTTTCCCCCTTTGGGTTTGTTTTTCCATATTATTATCAGAGTAATTAAACCAAATTGCAAGTCTGACCATGCCAGTCATGGTTTAAACCCTTTAGACAGCTTCTGATTTTCCATAAAGCCTCGCTTCTTTGAGATTCTCTGGCCTTATCTCTGCCACTCCTCTCACTGTGTGCTGCCACCCAGCATTAGACTTTCCACACCTCTACTTTTGTTGATGTAGTTGCTTCTACTTGGAATACTTTTTATTCCTCTATCCCACCATCTATCACTAATTTTGGTTCCTTGAAACTTAACTCAGACCGTGACTGCTTATAGGAAATAATATGTTTCAGGGTTTCTATATTATTACTACTATAGAGAGCCACCTAAAGCCATGGAAGTAGTCTTATTAATTTCTGTAACCACTAGCTTTAACTAGATCAACACACAATAAGCTTTCAGATTTGGGGATGTTTTGTTTGTTTGTTTGCTTGTTTTTTGTTTTTTTAGAGACAGGGTCTCTTTGTGTAGCCTCAGCTGTCCTGGAACTTGCTCTGTAGACCAGGCTGGCCTCAAACTCAGAAATATACGCCTGCCTCTGCCTCCTGAGTGCTGGGATTAAAGGCATAAGCCATCACCGCCTGGCATGCTTTTAGTTTTTATTGAACCACATAGTTGAGGTGAAGAGGAGGTGTAGGAATGAGAGGTAAAGGGGATGATTTAAGTATATGTGAAACAACATCATACATTTGAATTAAAAGCACAGATGGAGAAAAATCATACATAGGGGTAATGGCTTGTTAAAGAATGACAGTATAAATGAGAGAGTACAGTGGCACCATGCTGTTTAGGGAATACCTTTAATGATTGGAGACAGTAGAAGCCCTCAGGAGTCAACAGATTGATGAAGACATTAACTAGAGGAATACGGAGGAAGAGAGGGGTCTAGGGAGGAAACAAGTGTATAAAGGAGAGAAAAGTTTTTCTAAGGACAGAGGTACGGCTTCCTGGGTAAAGGCCCTTGCCACCAAGCCTAATGACCTGAGGCACCCACATGCCGATAACACACACACACACACAACACACACACACACACACACACACACACACACACACACACACACACACACACACTTTGACAATTAAATTGTATTTAGTTACCTTTGGAAATTGTAGTATAATGGAGCTTTTTAAAAAATCAGCCTATAGGACAAAAATAATTCTCAATTCTTGTACTTAAAAATTTATCTGTCAGGGGTTGGGGATTTAGCTCAGTGGTAGAGCACTTGCCTAGCAAGTGCAAGGCCCTGGGTTTGGTCCTCAACTCCGGAAAAAAAATTTTTTTTTTATCTGTCACCTATGTTCAGCTAGGATGAATGTCTTCAGGCTAGTGGTAGTTGTTCACTAAGAAGTAGCAAGCAGCTGGGCAGTGGTGGCGCAGGCCTTTAATCCCAGCACTCAGGAGGCAGAGCCAGGTGGATCTCTGTGAGTTCGAGGCCAGCCTGGGCTACAGAACGAGATCCAGGACAGGCACCAAAACTACACAGAGAAACCCTGTCTCAAACAAACCAAAAACAAACAAACAAACAAACAAAAAAGAAGTAGCAAACAGCCGGGCGGTGGTGGCGCACACCTTTAATTCCAGCACACAAGAGGCAGAGGCAAGTGGATCTCTGAGTTCGAGGCCAGCCTGGTTTACAGAGTGAGTTCCAGGACAGTCGGGGCTACACAGAGAAATCCTGTCTCAAAAAAAAGAAAACCAAGAAAAAAAATAGTGAGCAAGATATCATAATTGCATATTTTTACTTTGTAGATTTATTTTAGAACTCTTTTGTCACTGCTTTTCCAAATTGCCCCACCTGTGGAACCTTTTCCTTAAACTTTTACATGGAAATCAGATGAACTGGATCTTCTCTGAAGTTGTGACAGGCACTTGAAGCCTTTCCTAAGAGTTGTGTCCAGTCTTCCAGATCTTCCTTAGCGTTTCCTCCTCGACAAGCAGTGACTGCTGGGCCTTTCCACTGCAAATCCTATGGTTAGTTAAAGCATAACTCAAGAACCATGGCAGAAACACAGATAGCAAATCATTTGAATACCGAAAGTGATTCAATATTTAAACCCCAAATTTTTTTGACATTTTCATTCTGTTATTCAGCAAGCAGAATGCTACAACAGGATGTCTGCCTGGGAAGTAAAGAGACTCTGCTCTGCTAGTGCCCCAGTTTAGACAGAGGTGGGAGGCCTGGTGTGTCGATGGGCTGTGACATCTGTAGTCTTCCCAGCACTAATGATTCTCCGGGCGTTGTGCAGCGCTATCCTACTCACTGAATAGTCTCTGCTAGGAGCGAGGGCTCTTTGTTGTTTCTCCCAATTTATAGTATGCCACACATGACAGGACCGGATTAGGATGATACAGCCTGCTGTTAAGGAAATGAAAATTGCTCCAGGGTCTAATGAGTACAGTCATAGAAGTCAGCAAAAGCTTTAATGGAGCCATAAGAATGTAGAAGCGCCGGGCGGTGGTGGCGCACGCCTTTAATCCCAGCACTCGGGAGGCAGAGCCAGGCGGATCTCTGTGAGTTCGAGGCCAGCCTGGGCTACCAAGTGAGTCCCAGGAAAGGCGCAAAGCTACACAGAGAAACCCTGTCTCGAAAAACCAAAAAAAAAAAAAAAAAAGAATGTAGAAGGACCTAGCCAAGGCAGGGTAAGGGCTTGTCAGAAAAATAATAAATTTTTGTTAAATGTTAGCTTCTCTTGAGCTAACTCAAACTGAAGTATTTTCTCTCTGTGCAGACAGAGGCACGGAGAAAGGACTGGCTCCTACTTCCAGTAGGAGACTGTAAGTAGCTTAGTGTAGCTGGAACTTAGCATGCGAATGCTGGTAAGAGCATGGGGCCTGGTAAGAGAAGACGTAAGACAAAGACTGTGGTTGCTGTGCTGAGCATTTGGACTTAGTCTTGAAGGTGATGTGAAGCAATTGGAGGACTTTAAAGTAGAGTGATTGCATGGTCAGATTGATGTTTTAGAAAGCTGACAGTAATCAGAACAGATTAGAATGAAATGGGCCTTTATTTGAAGCAGTCTCAGTAATGGCCTTTTGCAAGACGTTAAACAAAACTGTCTCAGTCAGAATAGTAGAATTGGATGCTGGCCACATTCAGGCCTGTAGCCTTAGCTACCCAAGAGGCTTAGGAAAGAGGATCAAGAGTTCAAGGCCAGCCCTAGAAACATAATGAGTCCCTCTTAAAACATTTAGCCATTTTACTTAACATTATTTCTGAACTTCACAATGATCCTGCAAGGTAACAGTTATTACCATATCTTATAACAATATAAACTAAGGATTAGAAAATTTAATTTACTTGCTTCAGTCCCACCACCAGCAGTGACAGCATAGCGTTCCAACTCAGGTCTGTCTCATTGTAAAACTTACAAGGTTCTTTCAGTTGTGCTAAGGTGCCCCTGGTACATAACCTAGAGAGTGACCAGAACCTCAGGTGTGCATCATTTATTAATCAGAAATACTTAGACGTGAACAGCTACTCTGCCTACCGGCTCCAGGAAGCCAGGGAGTAAACAGGGAATGTGATAGAATCCTGTCCTTGTAGAGCTTGTATTCTAGTGGAGATAGTAATGCAAACAAAAGATACCACAAAGAGAAGGCTTGGGGAGGTAGCTTTTGCCTGTGAGTTCCATCCTCATCAGGAGGCATGAGAAGTGATCAGAGTAAAACAAGAAAAAAGTGCCTAAGAGGGGTTCAGAGACGGAGTGCTCGCCTGGTGTGTACAGGGCTGTGCTTTCAGTCCCTTGCCCTGCAAACAAGACTGGGAGGCATTTCTGTTCACTCAAGCAGTGTGTGCTGTCCTGGCTATTGTCAGATATCCTTCAACTCGGGAATACTAGTGTCTTTCTCTTGTCTGCCAGTAATATAACTACAGATGAAAGGGTAGGATAGACTATAAGAATGAATGAATAGTGGGACAAGGGACAGGGAAAAGATACTACAGAGTAAAATCAGTAGATAAGGCCACAGAAAGAAAGAATGAAGAGTTGGGCCTGTAACTCAGTTGGCAAAATGTGTGCCAGCATGCACAAAATCTTAGGTTCAATCCTTGGTACCACATGAACTGAGGCACAGTGCTACACACCCGTAATCCCAGTATTTGAAACGATGACACAGGCATCAGACGTTGTTGGGGGGGGCGGTGTGATTGGAGGGGACTGTGGTTGTCTTTAAAATGATAGTTCTGATTAAACTTAATGCCTCTCAAAGGACGTGTACTAATGGCCCCTTTTCCTTTAAGCCATACCTTCACATGGGACTTTGGGGTTTGGGGCGGGTTTCGTACTAAGATGGTGATCCGAAGTTTATGTAGAAGATGATAACTGTTTGGCACCTCTTTACTGTCTCTGCAGGTTGTAAAAGTTAACATGAACAAACTACGGCAGAGTTTTAGGAGAAAGAAAGATGTTTATGTCCCAGAGGCCAGTCGTCCACATCAGTGGCAGACAGATGAAGAAGGAGTCCGAACTGGAAAGTGTAGCTTCCCAGTTAAGGTAAAATCAAATGTCTATGATTCTCTGTCGGGGTGGGGGGATGGGAGGGTGGGAAGGTGGGGTGGGGGGTGAGGAATTCTCCATGATAGCTCATAGGATGTGAAATCCCATGAATCAGGGCAATTGAAAGAGTCTTCTGGGGCTGGAGAGATGGTTCACAGGTTAAGAGCACTGACTGTTCTTCCAGAGGTCCTGAGTTCAATTCCCAGCACCCACATGGTGGCTCACAACCATCTGTAATGAGATCTGGTGCCCTCTTCTGGCCTGCAGTCATACGTACTATATACATAATAAATAAATCTTAAAAAAAAAAAGTCTTCCAAAAATTAATCTCCATAATCTGCTTCAGTGATGGAAATAAATGAGAAAAATATGTTGCAGTTAGTGATTTTCCTTTTTGTATTTAAATTATTTAAATAAGAATTTCTGGCTGGGTGGTATCCCAGCACTCAGGAGACAAAGGCAGGTGGATCTCTTGAGTTTGAGGCCAGCCTGGTCTGTAGAATGAATTCCAGGACAGCCAGGGCTACTCGGAGAAACCCTGTTTCGAAAACAAAAAAAAAAAGTTTTAATTAATTAATAATAATAATTTCTGCTACATAATCTGGAATTAGTACAAATAAGAACACATAGGTGTGGTTTGGGAGTACTGGAGTACTGGGAACTGAACCTAGGATACTGCTGCCTATGCTAGGCAAGTGCTCTGAGCTACATCCCCAGCCCTTTCGCTTATTTGAGATGGGGTCTCACTAAATTGTCCAACTGTCCTTGAGCTTACCCTGTAGCCCTGGGAGGCATCAGCTCATGTTCTCCTTCCTTAGCCTCCCAGGTAGGTGAGGTTACCTGGATTCGTGCACTGTCATCATGTCTGGCCACATACAAGTCCTGGAACCTCTAATGATCCTCAAGAACTAAGTTATTTTCAGTGAGATATGTCTAACAGCTGAGGAGACAAGTGGGGTAGGGTTTATTTTCAACACTACCAAAAAGAACAAAGCAAACGCACCCCACCCCCAGTTTTCCCCTCCCAGTGAGAGCTAATTGTTTTTGCTTGCTTCTCCCAGTAATAATGTTGTGACTTCTTTAGCTAATATAATGTTCTTTCACTTTCATCATGGTTTAGCCTTGCATTCTTCTCAGTCTGAATTTGTAAACTCTTTTTCACCCAACATTTGTGATTAGATTACTTTTAATTTCTTTTTCCATTTTAATTCCTTGTTCCATGAATACTAGGTGGTTTTTCTTGATATTCCATCATAAAAAATGAAATCACTTTCTCGTATTTTCAAGTTTGTATCAGCTGTTTTTATTTCATTTGCTTCACATATTAATAGATCGCTAATGTTTACAATCTCTCCTATAGATATTAATTAAATCTCCTATATCGTTTTTAAAAATAATTTATTTAGCCGGGCGGTGGTGGCGCACGCCTTTAATCCCAGCACTCGGGAGGCAGAGCCAGGCGGATCTCTGTGAGTTCGAGGCCAGCCTGGTCTCCAAAGCGAGTTCCAGGAAAGGCACAAAGCTACACAGAGAAACCCTGTCTCAAAAAACCAAAAAAAAAAAAAAAAAAAAAAAAAAAAAAAAAATAATTTATTTAATCTTATGTGCATTTGTGTGAAGGTGTCAGATCTCCTGGAACGGGAGTTACAGACAGTTAATGAGCTTCCATGTGGGTGCTGGGAATTGAACCTGGGTCCTCTGGAAAACCAGTCAGTGCTCCTAACCCCTGAGCCATCTCTCCAGCCCCATCTCCTATATCTTATGTTTATTCTAAAAATATTTATTATGAGGCATTAAATTTAATGTAAATCTAAGGAATTTACTCTGATTTCTTCTCTTTGAAACCATTGGTTCATTGATAAGTTTGACAGATAATTGCTGAATGTCTGCTGCCTGCTACCTAGAACAGGTCATGTTCTAGATACTGGGTGTGCAATGAACAGCGCAGACAACAAAATCCCTGCGGTGTTTTCATGTTTGTTAGAGAGCGAACAAACATAGACTGTCTGATGTGCCAGGAAGGACCTGTGTATGAAGGGAATAAATGAGGTTAGATAGAGTTTCAATATGATGGTTAGGGAAGTCCTCATTGCAGGGGAAATGCCATTTGAGAAAATAAGCATTGCAGGTGTCTAAGGAAACAGACAGGGAGGCAGCACGTGGAGTGCTTGTTAGCAGGAGAGGCCTAGCGTACTAAGAGGCAAACGAAGCCATTGTGTAGACCAGGTAGTCCTGAAAGTTGGTAAGTAGAAAGTCTATTGTGTAGTTTAGTACTTTCAAATAATACCACCCCTCCCAGCTGCATTCTTTGATACAAATACAATATTCTTTATAAATTCTGAATTAGTTTACACAGTTCCATACTTGCACTTTATTCTGTGTATAAAGAAGAAATAAATGTTGCTAAAATTGTATCTAGCATGTGCAGTCTTCCCGTGATTGACATAGCAGTTACATCTGTCAAAAGTCACTGTGTGTATGTGTATTGAAAGAGGAATTAGAATCTAATAAAAGATAACTGAGGAAGCTGTTTCTGTGTTACAAGTGTCTGATAGAGTGTGATCTCTTCATTCTTGGGCCCTTGTCTACTAGCTAGAAGTAATTTTCCCAGTTACTGTTACTACAAATGCCCTCATTACAGTCACTAAACACTACTGAAAAGTCCTTTGCCTAGAGCTTCTTGACGGGTGAGAGTTGGGGGATACAGAGTCTTGCTACACAGCTCAGGCTAGCCTCAAATACATGATTCTCCTGCCTCACTCTCTTGAGTGCTTTATTACCAGCACGCCCAACTCCATTTTAAGGATTTTTACTTTTACTTAGACAAAATAGGAAACCATTAAAGGTTGTTGAGCAGAGAAATCTCATCATGGGACTGCTGCTCTTGAAGGTTCACTCTGGGTCATTTGCTTTCAGTTGACTATAGAACTACAAGATTAAAAGCAGAGTGTAGTTACGAGGCCACTGCAAAAGTCCTTGTGAAATAGACACTGGTTATGTTAGGGTGATAACTGACCCCTTTCTTCAGTTCCAGTTTCTGGAGATAATTTTTAAGACCATCACCTTAAGCACTCAGCTACGATTATAAAACGCGTATATATATTTTATAGGGAAAGCTGATAGCATATATTGATGGATTAGATTTGTGATGTATCACAAAGAGGAAAAAGGAAAGGATGGTTCAAGATACTTATTTTGAGGCAGCATCTCAGCTGGCCTTGAATTTACTGTAACTGAGGATGACCTCCAACTCCCAATCTTCCTGTCTCTACCTCAGAAGTGCTGGAATTACAGGTGTGCAACCCACATCGTTAAGATGGCTAATCTGAGTAGTTAAAAGGTTAAACTTAGCATATATTCTTTTGGAGGAGATTGTTAGAGGATTATATTTATTTGTGAGTGGGAGAATATAAACTCAGTTTTGCTGTTGTGAATGGGATCTCTTTAAATTTTCATTTTGTTTTTTTTAATGTTACATAAGTACAGAGGGCCCCTCCCCCCCTTTGTTTTGTTTTTTGTTTTTTAAAAGACAACCTTTCACACTACAACCCTGACTAGCTGTTTCCAAACTTAGAGTAGTCCTCCTGCCTCTGCCTCCCATGTGTTCATATAGTCATATATTGCCACATCTAGCTTTTGAATGTTTAACTAATATCTAGCAACCTTACCAAACTCAGGTGTTAATTTTAGTAATTAACTTGAATATTCTTTTTCTTTTCTTTTCTTTCTTTTTTTAACTGCTCTAGTCAATTGAAGGGAATTGTATTTGGTCCTGGGATCATGGGTCCTAGCTTTATTGGACATACTTCTTGCAGCAGTTGACTGCATGGGGGTCGGGGTGCAGGTGTGGGTAGCACTTGCAGCAGATCATCTTGTCACAACTGTACTTCTGGGCAAGCTGACAAAGGGATAGATCGATGATGCCACCACGCAGGCGCAGCACCAGGTGCAGGGTGGACTCTTTCTGGATGTTGTAGTGAGACAGGGTGCAGCCATCTTCCAGCTGCTTGCTGGCAAATATCAGCCTCTGCTGGTCAGGTAGGATGCCTTCCTTGTCTTGTGTCTTGGCCTTGACATTCTTTTTTTTTTTTTTCTTTTCTTTTCTCTCAAATCTATTTTTCTTTTTCTTTCTTTTTTTTTATTTTGCAATACAATTCAGTTCTACATAGCAGCCACGGATTCCCTTGTTCTCCCCCCTCCCGCCCCCCTCACCTTCCCCCCAGCCCACCCCTCATTCCCATCTCCTCCAGGGCAAAGCCTTCCCCACAGACTGAGGTCAACCTGGTAGACTCAGTCCAGGTAGGTCTAGTCCCCTCCTCCCAGGCCGAGCCAAGCGACCCTCCATAGGCCCCAGGTTTCAAACAGCCGACTCATGCACTGAGCACAGGACCTGGTCCCACTGCCTGGATGCCTCCCAAACAGATCAAGCCAATCAACTGTCTCACCCATTCAGAGGGCCTGATCCAGTGGGGACCCCTCAGCCATTGGTTCATAGTTCATGTGTTTCCATTCATTTGGCTATTTGTCCCTGTGCTTTATCCAACCTTGGTCTCAACAATTCTCGCTCATATAAACCCTCCTCTTTCTCGCTAATTGGACTCCCAGAGCTCCACCCGGGGCCTAGCCATGGATCTCTTCATCCAGATCCCTCAGTTGGCCTTGACATTCTTGATGGTGTCACTGAGCTCCACCTGGAGTGATGGTCTTGTCTGTCAAGGTCTTCACCAAGATCTGCATGTTGGCTGCCTCGTTGCAGAGAAAGAAATTTTTATTTTATTTTGTCGCCCCCCCCCCCCCCCAGAGCTGAGGACCAAACCCAGGGCCTTGCAAGCGCTCTACCACCGAGCTAAATCCCCAACCCCGAGAAAGAAATTTTTTTGTGTGTGTGCATCCATGTTTTGCCTGCATGTATGTCTGAGTGAGGGTGTCAGATCTTGGAGTTACAGGCAGTTGTAAGCTGCCATGTGGGTGCTGAGAACTGAACTAGGTCCTCTGGA